TCTTTCGGGAAAGGTGAAGAAGTCTTGCATCGGTGGGCCATCCGTTGCTGGGGTTGATGCATTTACAGTTGCGTGGGATAGATATGGCGTCAAGGCACTAGGATCGAACCTTTAATGATACATGCAGGACACGCCATGAGAATAACAACAGTTTTGCTACAAAATGTATCCTTGAAGCACACGTTTGAACTACACTAGAGCAATCATGTTGGCCGGACTCGCCACTCCTCCATACACGTTGAGGGGGCACGACGACAGGAAGAATGTCCAGCGTTTGTTCTCACGGCACCAAGCGGCCAGGTCCTCCAGATAAAGCAACTCGGCAATCGGGCAGCCCCAGCCGGAAATCAGGACTTCGTGGAACATGAACCCTGCCTCCTCCGCCACTGGGAACGCTTCCCACCCAGGGGCGTCTCCTCCGACACCGGCGAACTTGCTGTCCCACAGCCACTGTAGCAGACGGCGGTCCTGCTGCAGACCACAAGAGGCTGGAGGCCACGCCTCGCCCACGTTCTTCTCCTCCTCTGCACTCAGGTTGACGTACCGCGCTGTAAAGCCGCTGCGGATAATCAGAATGTCGCCGGGTTGTGGCTCCAGGCCGCTTGGCGACTGTCCGCGCTGCCATTCGAGACAAGCGACTATGTCATCGTACTTTATGGCATGCGGAGTCGACGGGTCATATCTCTGACCAAGCTCCTCTGCATAGGCCCAGTAGTCAATCAAGAAACCACGAGTGGTGATACCTCCCTTTGTGTGCCAGTTGTGGATTCCCAGGGATCCTTCCTGACTCTTGAGCATGTCATCCTTGGTGATGCCATTGTAGAATAGACCCTCCTTTTGGTAGGCGAAGTGTCGCAGGCCGTCCCATTGTGTGCTCTTTTGCGTGTTGAAGTTGAGCTAGGGATCTTGTTAGATTCGTGTTCAGACGACTCGCGACTTCGGCCCTCAGCTGACAGTATCATCAAGTACGTTACCAGGCCCTACGATCGAATGTTCGTATGCGAACTCATGCCTTCGAAAGCCTGGCGTCTTGGGTTCACTAAGTGGCCAGCTAAGGAGGAAGAGAATCAGCATGGTCGTTTGTTTGCATTTGCTGCAACCTGGGTTCACCCTACTTGAGACTGAAGCGTAGACCCTCCTTGATCTCCAAGCCAGCGTTCTTGACGACAGAAGGCGTGATCAGGTTCTGGACATTTAATCAGCACCAAAATCAACCTCATTCATCCCAAGTTACGCACCAGGGTACCGAGCTGGTCGTCAGGCCCCCAGTGGCCCCATGCTGAATAGGAGGGATCCCCCTTTCGAAGCGGCAGCTCCGAAAACGCCGGACACCGGGTTGTAGTGTTCTCTGTTTGTGTCATGTTCTTGAATGATTACTGAAATGAGATGATCTGATTTGGCGCGAACTATCGCCGGAGCTTTTGAGTGATATAGAATGCAGTAAGCGGAAATCCCGCCGACAGTTCGGGGTCCCGTTCGGTGGCTCGGAGTAAACGCGAACCCCAAAACGGCATGGAACGGGGTTCCGAACGGGGCTCCGGAGCGATCGACGGTATGATCGATTATATTGAACAGCGACCGTACGGTTCTCGTTTTCGGTTCTCGTTTTGGATTTTGTCATATTCTTTTGACGCGCCTGAATTTGATGCTGTTGTCGAATCGGCAAGTTATTCTACATTGTTGAACAGTGACAGATCTTGAACATTGAACGGAATTTCCGCCGCGGCAGCAAACCTCTGGCAGACATCTTCATCGCCAGCTTTTGGAGAATAGGAGTAGATAGCCATGGATGTCGACTCCAATATCGACCCCGCATCGTCACGGCGCTCGACTACCAGGACGCGCCGCAAGGCCAGGAGACGGCCGCCACCTTCGAGGCCCCGTACTGCCCCTGCTTGCAGTTTCTGTTCCCAGAGAAGAACAAGGTGCATACAAGGAGAGCCGGGAGGACCATGTCTGAGCTGTCAGCATTTTGAGCAGAAATGTATCATCCCAAAACACTTGACATCATCGTGAGTTTTCCCTGTAGGGTGCGCTGCCTAAGGATCATGGGAGTTGATATTCTGGGTCAGACGTAGATCAAAAGGCAGTCTTCAGCCTTTTGTGTCGGAGATGATATTTTCACCATTGCCGTCCTCACCAATGACGTGCTCCGGCTCACCGGGCTTCCCATATTCAACGAATTCCGAGGGCTCCCCAACATATTCGGCAAACTCCCTTCAAGCAGACAACACGCCTTCATCTGTCACATCTTTCAGAGAGGATAGGAGTTCGGCGTCAAGTGTATGTAGTTCAAGCGCGTCCTGCTATGACGAACTCAAGTCGATCAGGGAGCATTGGGACTTCATGCAATCCCCTACAGCTCCCAGAGGCAAAGATGTAGCCAAGGGCCGCGTGGTCGACGAGGCGCTACAAAAAGCGCAAGCGCTGTTATCTCAAGTGGAAATTCTTGCCCGTACTCTCAATGGGTTAGTTGGCTATGCAAAGCCTGACGAGGGGCTTCGTTGTCCGAGTCCAGGTTCAGTCATTGCCGTCGACGATGACAGGATAGAGTGTGATGATGAAGGTGTTTCGTTTTGGCTACATGCGTGGGACGAAATTGCCAATCTCAACATAGCGTAATACTCCTATACAATAATTAAGATCATGCTACGATATACTCATTGTGTCTTTCGCGGTTACACTGCCAGCAAGACATATTCCATTCTCTTCTCGCACACGAACCAACCACAGACCCAACAAAGTCCCCTGTCCCACAATCGACTCGAGATCAACAGCTTAGGAACTAGCCGCGATCCTTCCCGAATGCCGATGCAGGATTACGCTGCTGTGGGGCGCATCGATGAAGATGGCCGCGGGGTGCGATAGCGCGGGGTAATTGGGGTTGAAGGTGGTGAGGGGCCGGAAAGGCGTCGGAAATCGGAAGCATTAGCTCCATACATTCCGGTTCGCGCGGCATTTCGCACTCGAATGAAACACGACGTTGAAGGTAACATCGGTGTACGACGGGCGGATGATTCGGATGGGTGGTTCCATTCTCTGGAAATCGTTCGCACGACACCGTTGCGTGCCTGATGCGTGTGCGCTCCCAGCGTATTTGTAGACCTTATGGTGGAGGTCAGACCTGATACTGGATAGTGTCCGCTTGAGTTCACGTCACCATC